ACATATGTCGCGCAAAGCAGTTTTGCGCGACGCCGTCATTCGTCGCCAAACTTTTGGCGCCAAACGAAAAAGGATTTACCGCTTCTTTCGTTGACTTTGCGCGACGCAGGTGGGCATACGTCGCGCAAAGATGTTTTGCGCGACATATGACCACCTGCGTCGCGCAAAACATCTTTGCGCGACGTATGCCCACCTGCGTCGCACAAAGTCAACGACTTTTTTTATTTAATTTGATTAGTTTGGGAGGCAGAAACTGCAAACCCAGTTGCAGCAGCTACCTCCGTCTTCCATCTCTCTCTTCAAAATCGTCTACCAGATCAGGTTTGAATTGATATTAATTCTTTATGTTTTTTCGATTGCAATCCTTCCCTTGTTCTTAAACATGATGTAAACTGAATTAATAATATGTAGATCCTTCATGTGATTCATTTACGAAATTGAAATTGTAAAATCAAGGGAGATAACTATCTTGTTGATTTTCTTTTTCTCTATACACCAGGTAGTTCCAACAATACTTTAACTAGTAAATGTGCTTTGAAAAATATTGTGTTACTAACCTTGTTTCTACTAGTGCTCTTAGCATATGAGTATTTCTAGGATCCTTTCCATGCTGTTAATACCAAAAATTAAGGAAATTATCTACCAGAAAGTAGTCATAGTATATGAGATAGACATTCATTTGATGCATATAAAAACTATGAACTTAATACAAATATTGTGTTCTTATATTAAATAAAATGCTGAAAAAATGAATTTAAGGAGGAAACATGTAACATTATATATTATCAATCGTGTGTGGCTTAGAAGCTTCTTTAGCTTACATACAGAAAGTTGAGCTAAAACATTATCACCTAACTAACATTGTTGTTGATTTTTGCTATATATGTTGCTATTTGCAAGTGTTAGTGTTGTGGTGGGAAAAGATATGAGAGTTGATTGGACAAAACCAACAAATTTAAATTTGAATGCAAATATAATTGCTTAACCCGGATTGAACATTGGACAAATACATATGACGACTGGAGAAGTTTGAACTCTAGCAACCAAAGGCGCTACAAGAATCTTATGCATACGTTATATTTTTGGAAAGTGATTTCTACGCACATTATAAACTCCTATTTATTTATGGCCAATTATAAACTGAATAAATTAGAAAATTTTCAAACTAATCATATAATACTCAATTGTAAACCATAAGGCACATAGTTCTACTTCCTCATGATTGAGAGTTGAGATACATATAAACACTAACTCATCTTTTAAACTTCCATTTCCAATTTGTTAATTTATGTATACGTTCATATATTTGTCTCGTTACTTGATATCTGAATGTTTGTTTTTTGCAATTTTTGGCGTATGCGATCTCGAAGCATATATAAACAAGTTTGACGGTTGGATCGTTGAAATTAGTTTCGTAGGATGTGTATCACATCAAAACGATAGATTCACTAACACTTAAGAGTTTATTTACACTTTCATCAAGTATAACATAAGATTTTGTGGTATCTACTAGTGTAAATATTTTAAATAGAAGATCGAATTCATTCATTGTATTTGTTTAGGGTCAAGGAGTGTAGCTGTAAAAAAATCATCAAAATCGGAGTTAAAATAACCGTTAAATCGTGATTTTTCGTTTATAACTGTCGAAAAGTTTTGTCTTATTACTTGATCTCAGAATGTTTGTTTTTTGCAATTTTTGGCGTATGCGATCTTGAAGCATATATAAACAAGTTTGACAGTTGGATCGTTGAAATTAGTTTCTAAGCTGCATATCCCATCAAAACGATAGATTCACTAACACTTAAGAGTTTATTTATACTTTCATCAAGTATAACATAAGATTTTGTGGTATCCACTAGTGTAAATATTTTAAATTGAAGATCGAATTCATTCATTGTATTTATATAAGGTCAATGAGTGTAGCTGTAAAAAATCATCAAAATCAAAGTTAAAATAACCGTTAAATCGTGATTTTTCATTTATAACCGTCGAAAAGTTTTGTCTCGTTACTTGATCTCTGAATGTTTGTTTTTTGCAATTTTTGGTGTACACGATCTCGAAGCATATACAAACAACTTTGACGGTTGGATCGTTAAAACTAGTTTCGTACAATGCGTATCACATCAAAACATTAGATTCACTAACATTTGGAGTTTATTTATACTTTCATCAAGTATAACATAAGATTTTGTGGTATCCACTTGTGTAAACATTTTAAATTGACGATCAAATTTGTTTATTGTATTCATATAGGATCAAGGAGTGTAGCTGTAAAAAATCATCAAAATTGGAGTTAAAATAACCGTTAAATCGTGCTTTTTCGTTTATAATCGTCAAAAAGTTTTGTCTCGTTACTTGATCTCTGCATGTTTATTTTTTGCGATTTTTGGCTGATGCGATCTCGAAGCATATAGAAACAAGTTTGACGGTTGGATCTTTGAAACTAGTTTCATACGATGCTTTTCTTATGAAGTTCAACCGTATATATATTTACTAAGTAGATTTTAATTTATTTATTTATTTCGTACTTATAATACTTAAGAGATTGACTGATATATATGAAAAAAAAAATTATTGTGGGTTTTTGTTAGAAAAATATATTATTGTGGGCTTTATGTTTAAAAAAATTTGAATTTGAAAGGAGGAAAGTCACATTTTCGGTAATTTTCATAATACTTTTTTTTTCCAATTAAATACTTTGCGTGACGCCTTAGTATGATCGTCGTGCAAAACAACTTTGCGCGACGTCGAATTAAACACCTACGTCGCGCAAGGTGTGATAATTTTGGCGGTATAATAGTGAAAAATAGGCGCTCTTTTTCAATTTTTCCAAAATTTTCCACTTTGCCCTCTTTATCTCCCTCAATTCGAACCCAAATGACAGCCCTTCTTTATCTCCCTCTCCTCCTTCTATTCAAACCTAACCCAACTGAACCCTCCTCCTTCTATTCGAACATAACCCAGAAATCTTGAACCATCCCTCTTTATCTCCCTCTTTCCTCTTCACAAATCTTGAACCCAGAATCCTGTCCCCTTTCTTTTCCCGTAGACCCCAAATCTCCTTCTCTCCTCCCAACTGAACCCTCCTCCTTCTATTCGAACATAACCCAGAAATCTTGAACCATCCCTCTTTATCTCCCTCTTTCCTCTTCACAAATCTTGAACCCAAAATCCCGTCCCCTTTCTTTTCCCGTAGACCCCAGATCTCTTTCTCTCCTCTTCACGCAAATCTCGAAGCCGACGCGAATCAAGTCCCAAAATCAAGGTAAGGGTTTCTGATTTTCAATGGGTTTTTGTTATTTAGGGTTTAGGCTCAAATTGCAAGTTGATTTCTGAGTATTTTGTTGATGTATGTGTGTTTTGTGTATGAACATGAAATTGGCTTTTATTAATCTGATTTTAATTAAGGATGCATATGCCGTGTTAATTAAGGACCTTTTTAACAGGCCGGCGGCTGATGAACTTAAAATGCCTTCAATGACAAGTACAAGATGATGTTTATTAGGTACATGTTTATAGTTTTATCATATTCTGTTTATAGTTTTATGCATCACGGAATTTGTCTTCACCCATTAAAGCAAGTCTGCATTTCTCTTTTATTAGGTACGATGCTTTTCCGTGATATTATGCCTTGCAATTGTTGTTTGATAAAGTTATTAATGTAGTTTGTTTTGTAGTTTGTTTTGTATATTATGCCGTGAATTCTTTCGTATACCAGTTTGAAACATCCGAGGAATTTGAAAAAATTTCAACTAGCGAGGAACGCCAATCCTTTATTGGAAAGCTAGATGAGGTAGACATTTCTTTATTCAACCCAAAATTCAGCTTCATCATATCTCTGTCCTAAGTTTTCCATTTAACCTGTTGTCTTTTTCTTAGGTGCAAGAGTGGCTTTACACCGATGGTGAAGATGCTATGCTTCAGAGTTTCAGGAACGCCTAGAGATGCTAAAAGCTATTGGTGATCCAATATTCTTCAGGTATATTCCAGTTTAGTTTGTTTGGTTTAAGTTTAATTGAGGGTAATACTGCATTCACCAAGAAAAAAGAATTGGGCAGTGATGTATAATTTTCAGATGTAATTTCTACAATTTAAGTCCTGTGTCAAGTCAATGCAATGTATCTGATCTGATGATTTTAGCTTCATTAGGTACATGTTTATCATATTCTGTTTATAGCTTCATTAGGTACATGTTTATAGTTTTATCATATTCTGTTTCACTTTCATAGAACCAAAGATCAAGATGATGTTTATAGTTTAAATTATGGGAAGAAAATTTAAATTTTGTGCACTGGAGAAGCACGCTACTTTTTCAGACGATACTTTGACAGATAGCTTGGTTTTGACGAGTGTCCCTTTGGTTTTGGAATTGCTTGCCATCCGTTTTCTTTTTCTTTTTCAGACGATACCTTGACTGCATAAGCAGCAACAACTTCACTGGTATTTTTCCTTGATGGTTTTTACCTTATTAAGTGTTCCGTGTCTGTGGTATAGAAATCTCACTGTTTTCGATCAGGATTTTGCTTACTTTCTTGCTTTTTATCTTCATAATTTCAGAAAAAAGACTAATTATTTGGAAAAATTAGAGGCGACCTCATACAACATTTTGATTCCTTTAATGATTTATTTGGAAAATTTTAAGAACTAAAATGTATAAACTTTTGGTTCAGGGCTGAAAAGTTTCTAACAATGTTCTAAAATCCAACTAAGACCAGCCATGTGATACCCTGGCTTTTCCTATATAAATGGAGTATCCACCTACATGCACAGGGTGACCTAATTTATTAAGTTTTGGTCAGTTATATAAAGTCAATAACATTTATAAGGAAATATGGCTAATAACGTAGCCATATCATAATAAGCCTCATGGTCAAAATTTTCTCCAATGTTTTGTAATGATATATATATATATATATATATATATCTAGTTGTTCTGTATTTATGTAGTTGTGACAAGATTGGGACACACACACACATATATATATATATATATATCGACCTGGTCAGGAGATTACTGAGCAGTTTCATGTAAGTATATGTAATTATTATTATTCTTATATGTATGAATCATTCAAATATTATTTATATTTTGTTATTAAACATTATATGTTTTTTCTTTATTATTATAGGCTACTATGGTGGAAAAGAGCACTTCTGTTCTCCAAGAAGCAACATCGCAGCTTCCCCCGGAGACCCCGATCGAGGACATCACGATACCTGAGGATGTAGGTTTTCAGATCATGACTGATGTCCTGGATCAGAACTTAGGTCGTCGTCGTGGCAAGGTTGTTCGGTGTATGGGGAAAGCACAGATTCGTGAAATGGGTGCCTCTTCTTCCAGATCAAACGCAGAGGTAGATGCATTGAAGGAGGAAGTGACAACCCTAAAGGCCCAGGGCGAGCAGATGAAGGAGCAGCTGAGGGCCCAGGGCGAGGAGATGAGGTCATATGGCGGGGCGTGGAGAGACCTTGTACAAGCCATACAGATGTCCGGCCTTCAAATCTCACTACCAGCACTTCATCTTGGTCCACCTTCGACCTCAGAGCCACCTCGCCCTGCTGATACCTAATAGCTTGATGTATTAAACCTAGTTCACTTTTAGTTTTTTCTTTTTTGTTCGGATCTTGTATGTACATTTTCATATATTTTATAATTAAATACTTTTGCTTGGTTAATTAATTATTCTTTCGAATTTAATTACAATATTTATCAAGAATTAAAAAAAAAAAAAAAAAAAAAGTTTGACCAAAACTACTCCCCACTTTGCACGACCAATCACTTTGCACGACGCATGGCTTCGTCGCGCAAACCCACTTTGCGCGACGCACGCCCCGTGGGCCGTCGCGCAAACCCTAGCGTCTCAGACTTTGCGCGACGATTAATGCGCGACGAAGGTTGCGTCGCGCAAACCCTTAGGCAACGATTTTTTACTTTGCGCGACGAAAATACCTACGTCGCGCAAAGTGTTTTTTTTACTAGTGACTCTTGTCCGATAAAAACATCACCGCCATATCCGACGACAAGGACGGCATGTGTTGTGTTCTGGCCACAGTGCCCATCGTACACACCAGTTCTGTAAGTTTTAAATTCAGGGTCATGAAAATCCACCAGAGCAGAAACGGGCTGCCGGGAAACTTCTATAGCCAAGGAGGCTTCATTGGGAGAGACAAAGGCATAACCGGTAACAGTTATAATGTCGCTGTAGTCGCCTTCTGGCTTCGCTAAACAGATCGGTGACTGTACGCCCTTGTACGGGTATTCCTCTTCCGTATCAATGCTTTGTTGGATGTCAGACATGTACTTCATGGCTTTGTCTATATAGCCACCACTGCAGCCCTTATTGTACCCATGAGTGTCACAGTCGATGAGTTGCTGAACTGAAAGGTCGACTAAGTCGTCGGTCTTGATTTTGTTCAGCCCTTCCACGGCTCCTACTGCACTAAATGCCCAGCAGGACCCTGTCTCACAAACAACATAAAGTACATTTTAAGTTCCCCAACAACTCGTTGAACAATTATTGTGTTTTATTTTCCTTTCTTAACAAATAAATAGTTGCATATATAATTGAAGGGTTAACTACTTGTTCAAAACTTTCTAGAGGGTTTTGATGGGTTTTATTAAAATATTAAAACTTGATCTGTTTAAATTTACTAAAACATGATCATTTTATTAATGCAAAAAGCTGAAATCCTTTAGTTTTTTTATTGAAAAAAACTAAAACTTTAAACAAAGGTGAAGTATTAACTAGTGTAAGAAATTAAGCATAGTCTTACCACAAAGGCCCTGATCCTTCACCGAGGTCACAGCCCCAGCATCCACCCAATCCACGTATTCTCGCACATCCTCAAGTCCAGCATCGTCAATGTAGATGGCGTCGTTGGTTGGAGACGAGTGGGGGGCCACTCTTCCACCTGCGCAAGTAGCCAGTCTCTGAAACTCATCGTCCGTGAGGTCCGATAGAGCGTTGAATCCAGAGGTGTATGTCTTGCTTGTGTCTTTGTTGGAAGCCTCAATGAACTTAGCTGTAGCCTTGAAATTTTGGCCAGAGGTGTATGTCTTGCTTGTGTCTTTGTTGGAAGCCTCAATGAACTTAGCTGTAGCCTTGAAATTTTGGTAGCGCATCTCCCTCTCCTCTAGGGTGTTGTGCACTCTCCCGTGTTCCTTCATCCACTTGATGTGCATCTCCCGCATTGCTTCTTCCTCATCATGATTCTTCCCCACCTCCTCATTGCCATGAAATTGGCTAGCCGAGGAAGGAGAGGTTGCCAAAGTTCCTATGGTTAGTGCTACAAAGAATATTGTTTTGAGGGGAGACATGTTGCTAGCTAGCTTTTGATCTCACTGAGTAATAGTTTGCACAAATGAATGGGTTTTTATACTAACTCACACACTTGTAAAGTGTCAGCGTTTATCTCTCCCATTAAACTCTGATGTACCTCACAAATTACCAATAATGCACCATATTTTCCGTGTAAGCAACAGTGTATGAGGTTTTGAGAAAAAATGTAAAGGGAACACAATATTGCAAGTGTGAAATGAAGAAATTGGTGTTGATGTAATTTGAAAACTTTCAACTGCCCAAACAATATTTGTCCGATTGATTATCTTTACATCATTCTAACCATTCACATCCCATTTGCATTATATTTAGGCACTTAGGCTAGCTTACTGTTTAATTTCATGTACCAAAAGAGAGTCCCATTGAAATGAAGAGATCAAGCTGACAATTCGTGGTTTTGTTATTATTTTAGGAACTTAGGCTAGCTTACTCTCTTAGTCCAGAGTTGAATCATTACCTTAATTTCTTTTTATCATTTGAATCAATGATCGGTTCATTTTAACATTCGTCGTGTGATGTGGACTGTGAATAGTGTGCGAACACAATGTTGATTGGGAATATATATGATGTGAACTATTTATTTATGCAGTAATGTCAACATAAACTTGTTTTCTTGGGCATCAAGTTGCTATACATGTGTACAAAATTTTTGAAGGATCAATCACAAATGAGGAAAATAAACAGATTCAATCTAAAGTAAAAACACGCTAATTTTGAACTAGTTTTGGTATAATGCATAATCAGAAATGTACATGAAGGAGGACCGAATTGTGATCAAAGCAGATCTCAAATTAGATAATGAAAATTTTGAAACGTACACGTATCCAGTAGACGAATTTTGACCATTCAATAAAGCTTTGGGCACTTAATTCTGATGTTTTCCTCTACTTCAACCATTCTGATCTATCATATGCTTAATTTGTCTCTTGCATTTCTTCGGGTTTAATTTTTTCTTTTATTTCGGTAGTATGAATAAAGTTGTAGTGGTTATATGAAGTCTACCTACAAGATTGCCATATTTATTTCAATAGTTACGTGGTGTTTTGGTGGGGAAAAGAGGTAATGGTGGTCGGGGAGCGTCGAATCCGAATGAGGATGGACACAAGAGTACTGATTTTCACTATATGTGATGCCAGCCCTCCTCACAACATTGCCAAATTTAAGAACATTGATCGATCAGTCCATGAGGCCAAGTTCGATGAATATATCAAAAAAGTACTCATTTGTCTCTTGTATTTCTTCCTAGGTCGGCTCTGGCTCAAGGCAACCAAGGTGACTGCACGGGAACTCAAAACGTCTAGGGCACAAAAACTCAAATTTAATTCGTATTATTATATTGTTATGTTCAATAAGCACATCAATAATAAAACTCAAGTTATTTATCGTAATTTGTTAATTGCAACAGTGTTTTTCGTTTACTTGTTTTTTTTATTTATGAATCAATTCATTTTTGGTTTAGTTTAAATAAGTGTAAAATAATAGCTATATTTCTATATGTTGTCTTTGACGAAAGTGGCTTTTATAAATTTGTTTTCAATTAACTGCCACTCTTTGGCAAAAACAAAAGAAAATTAATAGCCACCCAAGTTCAAATCCAAACGAGGGCCTTTTTCTTTGCAACAATGATGTTATGTTTCAATATAATGTTAGGGTTTAGAGGGTTAGTTTTCTTTCTTGTACAAGAAAAAATGAGTAATTAACATATATGTGGTCTTTGATACCGTTTGGTACGTGGGACGGAACGGAGCAGAGTGAGACAAGGCGTTCCGTCCCACGTTTGGTGCGCCTAAAACGGGTGGAACGAGTTGTTCCACGGGACGAGTTTTTGGTGAATTTTCGTTCCACCTCACTCCCCTGGAACGACTTGTTCCACATCCGTGGAACACAAAATTGTAACCTCTCCGTCTCCTTCTTCTTCCTCCTTGTTTCCATCCGAGAGCATTTTTGCTCTCGCTCCGTTCCGTTCCGTCCTGTCCCGTCCCGTCCCATCCCATTCCGTTTCGTCCCGTCCCGTTTGCATACCAAACGATACCTTTAAGAACATTGATCGATCAGTCCATGAGGCCAAGTTCGATGAATATATCCAAAAGTAGATAAACACCTTTAAGTCTTTCTTGATTAATGTGTGAGGCCATGTTCAAATGGTTGTGTTTAATTAAAGGGCCACTTACGTTAATTTCACATCCTTGAGATTTCTAAATGCTTTTCCAATTGAATTACGCTCTTTTTTATTTTTATTTTTTATTTTACTTTAAAACTCATCGTGTCAAGTTACTTGATTAACTGCAAATATTTAAAACTAATGACGTGGAAAGTGTGAGGCCAATTTCTAGATTGACACGGATGCCACACCATGCCTTTATCATGTAGACAATCATTAACAAACAACTTATCTTCAAAATTCTAATCTACATGGGGTGAATCTATTCCACACATTTGTAAAGTCATCAATTTAACCATAAATGTTATATCCACGATGAATTGCTTACACGTATATTATATATCTGCATGTGAGGGCGAACCAAACCATGTTCCATTGAGGATTGTGTGAAATGCATTATATTGCGTTTGTGCGCGTAGCGTGACGATTTGTATGTGATACCGTTGGCGTATTCCTAAGCTATGGTACTACGTATAGCGATCCTTGTGAATCGTTGTAGGTAGAGTAATCTCAAATAATACAGGAAAGAATCTAGTAGAAATCTAGCATAAGATGGGCAATTTTCTAGGGAAAATCTGGAACAGTTGACCACCAATAATAAGAGCACTACCAGCTGTGCCAAATGAAGCTAGAGCATCAACAACTTGATTACTGAGAAACTTTAGCCACAAGTGTTTCCTGGAAAGTTTATAGAAAGCACTTTCGGCTAAACTAACATAATTGGCTGATAATGTCAATCAATTATGAAATCTTTAGTCGCAAAGGTGACACCATCCATATCATTCATCGTATTTGCCTTATTTCTCTAACGAAGATCGAACATCCATTCTGTAGCTGGACGGCGGATATCTTAAGACAATTGAATCTTTTGTTTAGGTTTTTCTTTTTTTTCATTACTGTAATCTAAATGTCAAGTCGCTGTAAATGGGGTTAGCCAAATCCGAAAGTCATGGAGACCATGAAAATTTCATAATAAACTGGTGAGGAAGTTGGACCTTTGAATAAAGTAGTAAATAACAGATCGATCTTTCATGAGGGTCATTCCCTTATACCACTCAATTATAAGTGAAAAATTATTAATTATTTTATCTTCTTGGTTGCATTTGGGTCCTGAAGACTCAAATATACCCAACCAAATGAGGATGGACACAAGAGTACTGATTTTCACTATATGTGATACTAGCCCTCCTCACAACATTGCCAAATTTAAGAACATTGATCGATCAGTCCATGAGGCCAAGTTCGATGAATATATCAAAAAAGTACTCATTTGTCTCTTGTATTTCTTCCTAGGTCGGCCCTGGCTCAAGGCAACCAAGGTGACTGCACGGGAACTCAAAACGTCTAGGGCACAAAAACTCAAATTTAATTCGTATTATTATATTGTTATGTTCAATAAGCACATCAATAATAAAACTCAAGTTATTTATCGTAATTTGTTGCTTGCAACAGTGTTTTTCGTTTACTTGTATTTTTTATTTATGAATCAATTCATTTTTGGTTTAGTTTAAATAAGTGTAAAATAATAGCTATATTTCTATATGTTGTCTTTGACGAAAGTGGCTTTTATAAATTTGTTTTCAATTAACTGCCACTCTTTGGCAAAAACAAAAGAAAATTAATAGCCACCCAAGTTCAAATCCAAACGAGGGCATTTTTCTTTGTAACAATGATGTTATGTTTCAATATAATGTTAGGGTTTAGAGGGTTAGTTTTCTTTCTTGTACAAGAAAAAATGAGTAATTAACATATATGTGGTCTTTAAGAACATTGATCGATCAGTCCATGAGGCCAAGTTCGATGAATATATCCAAAAGTAGATAAACACCTTAAAGTCCTTTTCGATTAATGTGTGAGGCCATGTTCAAATGGTTGTGTTTAATTAAAGAGCTACTTAGAGCATCTCCAAAAGAGATGTCAAAAGATAAAAGTCAATAGTAATTGGATGGTTGATGTGGCCATGTTAGATTTTCTATTTTTCTAACCGATATGTTTCTTTGTTATAGATGATATTTGTAGGACCTATTTTAAAAAGAAATCAATTAAAATACATTTTCAATTTCTATAATTGGTGCATTAATAGGACCCATAATAAAATAATTAAAAAAATTGACATCACATTTTCTCATATGTCAAATTTGACATATGAAAACTCATATGTCAATCCACATAAGATTGCCATATCGATTGGAGCTCACTCAGACCTTCAATTTTGATTACATGGAATTCCAACTAGGATTCGACATCTCTTTTGGAGATGGTCTTACATTAATTTCACATCATCAAGATTTCTAAATGCTTTTCCAATCGAGTTACGCTTCTATTTCTTTCTATTTTTTATTTTACCTTAAAACTCATCGTGTCAAGTTACTTGATTAACTGTCCATATTTAAAACTAATGACGTGGAAAGTGTGGGGCCTATTTCTAGGTTGACACAGAAGCCATACCATACTTTCATGCTATCTTTGAAGAAAATATATGCATCTAATATTAAGCATACCTTCAAGCTACTTCTACTCTATATCAAATATAGTATGAGCAAAAGTGCTATTTTTCTGTCAATCAAACGGAAAATCCCCTCTTCCACCTCTCATGTATCAATATTTTTCTCATCAATTTGCCCACTTTCCACTACTACATTGAAATTTTTGTAACATTGAAATTGTGATACATCGTCATTTGAAATCATCTCATTATCAGATTGGGTATAAGCCATATTATAATACGGTTCTCTTAGTTGTTTTTTAAGTTGCTTCAATTAGAATAAATTTCTATCTCCGTCCCAAGAAAAGATTTACAATTTGAATTTTTGTTAATAAGCTGACATAAGATGATCATTTCTTGAAACAGTGACCTAGTAAAGATTTACAAAATTGGCGAAGGAACATTCGGAGAAGCTTTCATGGCTGGTGGCTCTGTCACGGCCCTGACCCTAGTTCATATGGCACCTGTTATTCAATATCTAGCGACTTGAGGCAAAATTTTCTGACCATTATGAGGTTCAAATTAAGTGTATTTGGATTGTAACTAGAATGGAGTCACTAAATTATGACACGAGGCAATAGATTAATTTCTGTTGTTTTCAATTGAAGTTGTTAATAGAATAAGATTGGTTTATATGATCTTTGTATATCTTCCTACTTTCCCACTTTTCACATTTTCTTATTATTAGTCTACCAATGCTAGCATTTTTTCTAAATTCCATATTAAAAAAAATCAAGTTTTATAAAATTAAAAAAACCGAAACCGTATCAAAATCGAACCGAAGAAAATTGAACCGAACCGAAGTTTTGGTTCGGTTTCGGTTTTGGCAAAAAACCAAACCAAAATGAAACCGAACCTACCCCTAAATGTCAGTTCACTTAAGCTTTCATTCCAACCCATGTAACGAGCCTTAAGTCAATGACTCCCAATCCACTAGGGTTTTAGGGAACCAGGTGTAGAGCACCCTTAAGGACTTACTAACTTGAGTTGAAAAGGCTACAAAACCAGCTAACCACTCTGCCCCATGCCAAGACTCTATTGTTTGATGCGAGAATCACTGCTGATTAGGCAAGACTAGCCCGGTTACTAATCAAAGTTTCAGGTGGAACAATTAATACTTTATTTTATAAAAAATACCAAAATTTATATTACTTGAACAAAAATTAAAAAATTAAACGAAAAATAGGTCTTCCAATCTCACTCCCCACATACCATTTTGGTGTGAACGTGCAAATTTTCAAAGTATAACTCATGGATTAGTGTTTAAGCAATAATAAATAGAAAAGACTTTAATGTGGGATTAATCATCACCATGCCCATTTGTTCTAATGTTTAAAATAATCTATGAATATTAACTTAAAAAGAATGAAAATTTTTAACTGACTCAAAAATTAGAAGCCTAAAAAATTATTTTGTGACATCCCATATCGCCCAGGGGAGTGATCCTTAAATGTATATTCCAATCCCTACTTAGCACGAGGCCTTTAAGGAGCTCACTCGCTTCGGGTTCCGTAGGAACTCCGAAGTTAAGCGAGAAGGGGGCTAGAGTAATCCCATGATAGGTGACCCACTGGGAAGTTGCTCGTGAGTTCCCAAAAACAAAACCGTGAGGGAATGGTAAGCCCAAAGCGGACAATATCGTGCTACTGTGGTGGAGCGGGCCTGGGAAGTGATCCGCCCCGAGCCGGGTTGTGACATATTTCTCATCCCCAAACTTAAATCACAAATTATCCTCAAGGTGTGGAAAATAAAATTAAACAAAAAAAAAAACTATAAATATAATGTGATGTTCAGTAAGCATATATAAATAAAACCCAAGTTATTTATCATAATTTGTTATTTGCAGTAGTGTTTTTGCTGACTTGTTGCCTACGTTTTTTTATGAATCATTTCATTTTTGGTTTAAATAAGTTTTAAAATCTCAACATTACTCTTAATCAAGACAATTAGATGTTATAAAATCTAGTGATTAAATACAAAATAGAGTATTTGTCAAATATAGTAAAAAATTAACTTTTAATTTCAAAAATGTCACTTTTTATAAAAACTTTCAAATATATCCGAATTTTCATTTATATAGACACAATTACCCTCAGTTTTAACAATTAAATAAATTAAAGGCTTTTTAGCTACTGTCGTCTCAAGCTCTAGTCCAACTTCATCCTCGCTTCTACACTCCACCATCACAACCCTATCCCCTTCGACCCCCTCATCACCGACATTGAGTGCCGCTACGGTTACCGCAAGTGGTAGTAGCATAATTTCAATCATGCCTTCAACACTTTTTTTCTAACTAATATCATTTTTAGTTTTAAATATAAAAATAGTTTTTAAAGTTAATCCGTGAGATCCACGTGGCGCCACATCATAATACTAACAGAGCAATTGTCAGATGTTTCATGAAAAAACCAAAATGATCACGATTGACAAATTCAAAGAAAGACTAAAATGATTCACGATAGACAATTTCTAGAACACTACTATTGATTATCATTCATTGTTAAGGACTAGATTAAGAAGTTATGTCAATTTCATGAATCATTTTGGCTAAAAAAACCTTTAATTTATTTGATTGTTAAATTTAAAAGTATTTGTGTCTATTTAAATAAAATTTTGGATATATTTGAAAGATTTTTATAAAAAGTGATATTTTTAAAATTAAAAATTAATTTTTGACTATAGTTGATATATTCTCATACAAATATGTGTCAAGTATTTGTTTGTTCCTATCCCGAATCTCCGACGGAGTCATCGATTCATCAGGCATGGCATCTCCTCTCAAACTAATTTCCTGCTCGCTGTTTTTACTTTTTAGCTTTATTTTCTGGTCCAAGAAGCCGCCTATTCACCCCACCATCATCGCAAAAACCCTAACCACTCCTCCGGTCCAACTTCCAGTGATATCTAGGGATAGGGATTTGTCAGATTTGAGAATTTTTGTCCGCAGCCAAACAGCTGCCGCTATGAGAATCACAAAGCCTTTGCTTCAGTCCGAAGCCAAGGACAAAAACATGGTGTTCTCTCCGCTGTCCATCCACATCGTTTTGAGCCTGATCGTGGCGGGGACAAAGGGTCCGGCGAGGGACCAGTTACTCTCTTTTCTCAAGTCCAACTCCACCGCCGAACTCAACGCCCTCGCTGCGGATATAGTTCCATTGGTTTTGGCAGATGGATCTGCCAGTGGCGGTCCCCGTCTGTCCTTTGCCAATGGACTTTGGGTTGATGAGTCTCTCTCTATCAAGCCTTCTTTCAAAGAGGCGGTGGCCGTGTTTTACAAGGCAGTTGCGGACGAAGTCGATTTCCAGAACAAAGCGGATGAGGTGAGAATCAAAGTGAATTCTTGGGCCCAAGGGAAGACTGGTGGCCTGATCAAAGAATTTCTTCCTCCCGCATCAATTAACGGTGCAACAAGGCTCGTGTTTGCGAATGCATTGTACTTCAAAGGGGTTTGGGAGGAGAAGTTTGATGCGTTGAATACCAAAGAGCATGACTTCAACCTCCTCGACGGGAGCTCAGTTCGGGCACACTTCATGACCAGCGACAAGTGGCAGTTTGTAAGGGCGTTTGACGGCTTTAAAGTCTTACAGCTTCCTTACCGACAAGGTGGAGAAGAAGAAGGCAAACCTCCTCGGCGACGTTTCTCCATGTACTTGATTCTGCCTGATGCGGAAGACGGACTGCCAGGTTTGGTGGACAAAGTTTGTTCCGGATCTGACTTCTTGAATCGACATCAACCGTACGGTAAAGTTGAAGTGGGCGACTTCAAAATCCCAAGGTTTAAGTTTTCTTCCGACTTGGAAGCGTCCAAAACTCTCAAGGATTTAGGATTGGTGTTGCCTTTTACTAGTGAGTTGACAGAGATGTTTAACTGGCTTCCTTCCGGCGATGCTTTTAGGATGCTTCACAAATCCTGCGTTGAAGTTAATGAAGAAGGCACTGAAGCGGCAGCTGTTACTGGCATTCTTGCGGGGAGTTCGCTTAATCCTCCTGACAAGATAGATTTTGTGGCCGATCATCCATTCATGTTCGTCATCAGAGAAGAAATTACTGGAACGGTGTTGTTCATTGGGCAAGTGCTGAATCCGCTCGCGGGTTGATCTATCTATTTGGGTTATATATGTAAATTCAATTTGTAGTTGGCTGTGGTCTTCATTGCCTGCCTGGGAGCTTAACATATGAAAACTGAACGAACTAGACCTTTATGATTATTAATAAAATTCCCAACTCTTTTATTTAGGTTGCATTTTTGATAATTTAGTTTGCGGTGGTTTTGTTCTAAAAATTGTCCACATCCAATACGAAAATAACAATGTTTTCGGATGATTAGGGTGTATCTGAGATTTTGAATCATGAAGAACAAACCGTTCTGCTCAAAAGAGAATTCCAAAGCGGAACCATCCAAGTACGTTGTTTGATGTTCCTGTTGATGGAGTAAAGTTAGCAAGTCTCTGTATTGTGGAAACAAAGTCTGAAAATAAGATCCAACAAAATAAGGCTTGCGATCAGAGTCAAGAGGCCTATTGTATAGGTACTTATTGTTGTATAGCCTAGCTTTTAATGCATATGGTCTATTGTAGCTTAACCGAACCAAACTCTCATTTATCTTATTATAAAATGTATTGCTATACTAAAAAAAAATAAAAAATTTGTTCGAGAATTAGACAAATTATTTGCAATTGGAATTATGCACCCTTTCCTTTTAACAGTGAGTAGGAGCATACAATCCCATCCGGATTCTCTGTTTTCCTCTTATGTCTAGGGTTAGGGTTTGATTTACTTGTCTTATTAGGCTTTGTATTCTTGTGTGTCAAGGAATCCTACTTCCAACTTGCACTCAGTTTTATTAATAGTAGTGCAGAGAAGCACAGAAATACAGAAAGAGAATAACAGAGAGAGAGAGAAAGTAATTGATTACATTGATACTGAATTAATCTTTACAACTATGAGAATACAGTTTATATAGCCATCATGACTAACTTGCAGCCTAAGCTATTTAACTAACTAATTTTGATAACAACTCTAACAACCTTTGGATATTGTCAACATCCCCCCTCAATCTCAACTGGGATTGCCCAGTTTGAGATTGAAGCAGACCATCCAGCAATCAACTTCTTACAATTACAGAAATCAAGAAACACAACCTTCTTTAGCAATCAGCCTTCAATGAAGAAAGGGAACAAGAACTGCACTCCGGCAATCGGCCTTAATGGAGTTGCACACAATAACAACAAACAAAATTTTTCAAGAACGTTACTCCGGCTATCGGCCTTTAAGGAATAACACACAATATCTGAGACAGAACCTTTCACTCCGGCTATCGGCCTTATGGAGGAAACAAAATGCATTCAACACACTCTTGGCAATCGGCCTTTTTCGAGTGCACAAATCTGAACAAATCTGAAGTATACGGCTATCGGCCTTGACACTTCCAAAATTCCCAAGAAAATTCTCACTGAAACGTTATAAACCAGTTCATATCTAGCCAATTAGAAAATGAACTACTAGTAACAGAAAGAATTGAATCAAAAACAATCTTCATTAATGAAAGAATGACTGAGAAGGGATAGTAAAACCTTGACTGAGAAGTGGTATAGCTTGAGCACCAAAAACCAACTGTGCAACTGATCGGATACAGAGAATGGTTATTCATTCTGCATAAATACTTTGATGACTTTCAAGTGCCTGACTCATTGATTCGAATTCAACATCTGATTCTACTATTTCCATGATATCCACATCCATGTTCACTTCTTCAAAGTCAATTTTCTCTTCTCCATAATCACCAAGTCTCAAGAATCACTCAATAATGAAAAAGCAAATGAAGTATAGACAACAAGACATGGTTGAAGCAAATCGTCGAACACCTGGTGTGCGAAATTACCACGGATATCTACTTGCATCACTAACCCAATCATGAATCCAGAAAATCAGAAGAAGCGACGGAGAAAGCACACAGATTTCAATTAGTAATGGCTTCGTGCCACAACTTTCACTTCCCCAGCAAAATGGAAAAAAAAAATTTAGAGTACACCACTTCAAAAAATTAACCAGAAAGAACAATTCCATATTTTGCAGAATTTAGAATGAACCAAGAATTCACATGAACAAATCCTCAAGAAAGTGAAATTGAACCAAGAAGTCAGAATGTAATCATACCCAAACTCCAAATATATCACCTTCCTGAATTTTTCATTGACGAGTAGGATCGAACAGGCAAGAACCCATTAACCAACTGCGTTCAAATCACGCTACGATTTCAAGACCCGCTACGATTTCGAAAACCCAGATATCACTTCATTTCTGAAATCACAGATTACGCACGAAAGATGAAAAACCCAGATGTGATTTTGACGTTGCTGAGTAAAAATTGGGCACCAGAGGGACAATTGGGGTGAGCAGTGCAAGGCCTTGATTGAAGGGTTGAATAATGCTCCTTCTTGGAACCCAATGGTAGTAGAAATACCAGTAGCAGTCGCCGATTGAGATGAAGGGATTCCACAGGATCCAAAAAATTGCTTGACATCCCATCTTCTTTCCTTGTATTAAGAACTCGATGAAAATCTGAAAAATTCCCGACTTCAAGAATTGAAAAGAAAAACAAATTGCCACTTCTATTTGGCCTGAAGAAACAATATTCCTCAGAACAATCAACCAACAATCGCAGAAAAATCAACCCAAGCTCGCGGAAGCACTGAAAATTTAATGGAAATTTGGAAAGAAACTAAACTAGGAAAGAAAAAAAAAATTTGCAAACTACTACGAAGAAACCACCAGAATCCATGGCGTGAGCCTGGTGGCTCTGATACCATATTAACAGTAGTGCAGAGAAGCACATAAATACAGAAAGAGAATAACAGAGAGAGAGAAAGTAATTGATTACATTGATACTGAATTAATCTTTACAACTATGAGAATACAGTTTATATAGCCATCATGACTAACTTGCAGCCTAAGCTATTTAACTAACTAATTTTGATAACAACTCTAACAACCTTTGGATATTATCAACAAGTTTACCTCTGTATATATTGTACGATCAAGATCAACTTCACTATATTTTACAAGTTATCAAGAGAATTCCCTTCCCCAGTTAATTCTATAGTACAATTGCTACTCCCTGAGGAGATGGCTAGCTTTCGATCGATCTGCTTGGCGATACTGCTCGTGCTACTTTTGGTGTTGTGGTCGTCGTAAGAATCATCTTACGCTCGGCAGAGAAGCACATCGGAGATCTTCGAGAAGTGGATGACAGAACACAGATGAGTTTAAAAGGATGCACAAGAGAAGGAGAAGCGCTTCAAGATTTTCGAGGCTAAATGGGAGAAGAATTTATATTACCTAGGCCCCAATCACTTTTCGGATTTAACCGATAAATAATTTATCTCTACAACTTGTTAGTTAGGAGTCCATCGAACTTGAGAAGAAACACATGGAGTTTAGGGTTTGGCCAAACAAGCTAAGTATATATAGTTTTGAGTTTATTATTATTATTATTTTTTTAGTACATCGATATTTTTACACTAATAGGAGGAGGAGGAATGCAGCTAAGCCATACAATGGGCAACCTATTTTGGTATCGAATTGGTCATCCAAGATATTCGAACTTAAAATCTCTCACTTCACCAGCATAAGGTAGTAATGAATGACAAATATAGTTTTGCGTTTAGTTAAGGTTAGAGTTGTGTGCTCTGCCTCTTCATAGATGTTATATTCACTTGCGTAATTCAGATATAATATAATTATTATTTTATATTTTGTTAAAAAAACAAACGGATAAATAAATACAAGCCGAGTAGATGGACTGTATTATTTAGAAAAGTGCTCTTATTTTCATCCCTCACACATTTTTGTTAATATTATTTAATTTATTTGTTCTTACAGTCGAAAATTAAAAATGACGTGCGAGGACAATGGGTCGGATTGCCGCTTTGGATTTGACCCACAATATAAAACCCGCGGACTAAACAAAACCAACAGAACAAAAGAGAGTCGGTGTTCGTGAGCTTCAAATTCCAAATTTCAATTCAATTCAAATCTCCAGAAGTCCAAAAGCTTAAAACCCCAAATTTCAAAACCCTAATTGTGATCGGAACCCCCCCTTCTCTGCAAAAAATGGGGAAGAGCCAACCGCCGCCGCCGCAGCAGCCACCGGCGTGAGAGACACAGTTTACAAGCTCCAACTCGCTCTCCTCGACGGCGTCAAAACCCTAGACCACCTATACTTAGCCGGCTCAATCATTTCCCGCTCCGACTACAACGACGTTGTCACGGAGCGCACCATAGCCGACCACTGCGGCTACCCTCTCTGCCCCAATGCCTTGCCTCCGGAATCCTCCCGCCCGGCCACTATCGCATTTCGCTCAAGGAGCACAAGGTCTACGACCTCCATGAGACCTACATGTACTGCTCCTCGAGCTGTCTTATCGAAAGCAAGGCTTTTGTTCAGAGTTTGAGCGAGGAGAGGTGCGATGTCTTGGATTATGGCAAGGTTGAGAGGGTCTTGAGGGCTTTTGTGGATGTGGATTTTGAAAAAGGGGAAGTGGTGTTGGGGGACATTAAGGATTTCGAAGTTGAAGATCAAAGAAAAGAGCGAAGTGGACAGTGGGGATTTGGGATTTTTAAGTTGAAGATTGAAGAAAAGAGTGAAGTGCAGTTAGGGGATGTGGGCGTCGTTGGTCCCTCTAATGCTATTGAGGGTTATGTTCCACACAATCAGCGGATATCCAAGCCATTGGGTTCGAAAAAGAGCAAAAAAGGTATCTGCTTTTTTGTTTTTGTTTGTGAATCTGTTATTGCTACAACTGTATTATATTTAAGTTGAAGAGCCTATCTCATGGTTGCTCAGGTTTCTTGGATTGTTTTGTTTTTTTTTTTTTTTTTTTGGTTGTTAATGTGTTCCGTTAGTGTTCGCTAAAGTGAGTAAGTATTGTACATTGTACTGTCCAAAGGTAAAGAAGCGAAAACAAGTGGCGGGAAAGATATGATCTTTAATGAGATGGATTTCATGAGTTGTATAATCGCTAGTGATGAATACAGTGTGTCCAAAATCCCACCAAGTTCTGGGGAGAATGGTTGTGAAACTAAGGTTAAAGAATCAGAAGGAAAAGTTTCTCATATTAAGAATGATTATGAAAAGAAATCCAGAAAATCAAGAGGGGAAAAAAGTACGATTTCCAAGGAAGATGATGTTGGTGTTCAAGAGGCGCCTTCAACATCAGAGACTTCTCAAACTGTTT